TTCAACTCCTACAACACTAAAGGTGAGTCTCTAAGCGTGTTGTGATAAATCTCACTATTTGCTCAACATCTGCCTAGCCAAATTTGCTGAACACAGCACAGATTTTGGGAACTGCACTCACAGAACTTCATCATTTGCACTGTTCTGAGCCAGTGATAGGCCTGTATAGCGTATGAGTGTGCTTTGAGCCAAAATCAACATTCGAAGTGTTCGAAATGTCTGCCTTTGGGAAAGCCTCCAATACCTCAAGACAAAAACATCTTTGAGCAAAGCCCATTCTTCAGTATATTTGAGACATCACACCCTCACTATGATCCAATTGGGATCTTTCAGTGGCAGCCTTATTCCAGGAGCTTGGCTTCAAGGGAGAATCCCCATTATCAAGAGACTAAGACACCCGATGCAGGGCTATCAGGTGACCTGTTAAGGTTGGTGTGCTTGGGTTGCAGCGCCAAGACTCACAACAATCGAGTCTCTGAGACTAGCAGGACATAGCACATAGAATGGGAGTTGAAACTGATGGAGGCATCAGGCTAGTACCAGTGAGGGTATTGGGATCACTAGGCACAGTCGGGGCAGTGGAGGCGATGACTCAGGTGGTTCAGGCAGGATGAGGGATATTTAAGAGTAGTTTTGCATGATTGTAAGGTAGCACTTGACCCCTGGTAGCAAGACTCATGCAGAATCACATCCCTCACTCAGCAGAGCTCAGTCCAACTTCAAACTTCATTTGAAGTATTATGCATACCCTACGAACTATGACTATGATCCTCTGAACTGCGTCTACGACTGTTGAACTGCATCTGAACCTAGTATGCCCCCAAAGTACACTCTCACATACAGCTAAGTACCCTAAAGTTCTGCCCCTACATCTGATCCTCAAACAAGACTTGAATATCCTCAACCAAATTGCACTTTGTGTTTGGGTTGTCAAGCCAGTTTCCTTTATCTTCCCTCTGCTTCTACAAAGAAGTTGGAGTGTTCAGATGGTCTGAAACAGTCTCGTGACACTGTCCCAAGAGATATAGTGAAGCCATCACCATTCGAGTGAGCTATCAGAACTACAAGCCCTCACCCCTATCAGCTTCCCCAAGAAACAGGAACTTACCCTCTACTTCACACCCCCCTGAGTTAGGGTTAGGTTTCCTGAGGTTGCATCACTGGGCTCCCAACCTAAGTTTATGCTGTGGATGGGCATTTGAGCAAAGCCTTACATTCTGCAGCTGGTCCAATGGAACTGGAGAAAGGGGGGGGGTGAGTTTTATCTTCCAAACATCCTCCAAAACTAAGCACCACAGTGTATGCATAACTCAATAATACCTTTTAGAGGGATGTGGTTCACCCAAGGCCCATTTGCACTGCTTGCAATTGGAGTTGCACAGTTTCTGGAGTATAGTCAATTTCTATGCATCCCTCCTCTCATGAGCTTACAGTATATGAAGCTTTCGTACTTGTCATATTTCTCATCTTGTGATGGCCGGGAAGAAGTCGCTCCCATACTGGCGCCGAGGTGATGGCTTGAGTACATAAAATTTTGCAGACGGATCAGAGGTGCGACCCTCGAGCCCGTTGCCATTGAACCGAGCTTCGAAATCGCGAAGCAGTTCTCGGAGCTTCTCATCGAGCAAATCCCTTCGCTGCGTCTCGTGTCTGATGGACTCGGAACGCGAGACTGACAGCGTTTATGAGTACTCGTGCACCAGGGCAATTCGGGCGGTGGACGCTGCAACTAGTATTGTGAATGGACAGATCGCGCAGTTGGCTGCTCCTCAGTGGGAGACGGGACAACATTTGGAGAATAGACCCGAAGAATTTGAAAAGAGACAAGACAGCAGATTCTGATGCACAGCCTGCGGCACTTGGTACCTCTCTGAGCGCTCTCTTGTATTTGTTTTTGGAGGAGCCGTGAGGCCAGGTACAGTGAACCCAGTGAGCTCATCCCGACCGGCCGGTGCAGGCAAAGAGCCTGAGAGGAGAAAACGCATTACATAGGCACGGATTGGGCGTGGGACTCCGACAGGGGCACCTTCTCGTACTTAGAAGACAACCTCAATAGCTCAGTGCAAATACCCTTCGAATCTGACACATCGCTCAACATTGCTGCTCGCTTGCCGAATCTACGAACTGGCCCAAATTTTGATAAGCAATTGACTTTGGCTGCGATTATATACCAGGGCCGAGTTCACGACAGAGATCAGAGATGGGTAATGTCTACTGTCTATTAAATTAAATCTAGGGGCACAACGGGAAAAAGCTCGTCGTACTCAGGAACATTACAGCTGCGGTGTTATGCATAAACGGGCGGTAACCATTGGATACGATATCATGCCATCAGCTTATAGGTGTAGTCACAGAGCATGCCTCCCCAGATAATGTACCCAAGTTTATGGTTTGCCTGGCATGGAATGTCGGTATGAGCACTGGCGATTCTGGCCGATAAGTTGATCCATACCTGGAATAGTTTGTTGCTCTGCTTGCCAGTTTCCAGCTCGGGGTTACTCAACTGCCAGATTAAATTGAGAGCAGTTCCAGCTACGGTGATAAGGAAGTACAGGGGACCCTGTCCGTTCAGGTATCCTGCATAAGCAAGTGAGGTAACGAATGCCATCGTGAAGAAGGTCAAGATGGGTCGAATATAGTCGCCAAAATAGATAGCGCAAGAGTACGCCCCAGCTTTGGCATCTTCCTCTCGGTCTTGGCGTGCATAGACAGTGTCGAAGTGAATGGTCCAGCTTGAGAAGGACGCGCATTAGAGCACGAGATTGCAAGAGATTAATGAGATACTTACCAGATGATTCCAAGCACAACAGGAACTAGAATTTTTAGGTCCACGGAGTCTGTGTATGAGACCCAAACGACAGGGAATCCCCATGCTATCCCAAGTCCTAGAAATAGTGAGTCCATTTTCTGTCAAGTGTCTTGCTGAGCAGCGGTGTGCTTACCTAGCCATGCTTGTGGCCAGTTTGTAAATCGCTTCGTGAGAGGGTATATCAAATCGAATGTCAACAGACACACAAGGCCGAATTTGAAACTATGTCATCGTGAGCTAAAGCATCGAATCTTCAAAATGGGCAACAGACGCTAGTGGGCCCATGAACGAGAGCATATACATGCAGACGGCCATATGAGCGACGAAGAATAGTAGCGCGGCTGGAAGAGAGATCATTCCAGACGGGAGAGGCCGACTCTTGGTACGTTCTATTTCTATTGTTAGATTCTTTTAATCATGAATTTGTGACGTGGAAAGGACATACCAACTTTACCGTCGACGTCCATATCACAAATGTCATTCCAGATGCAACCAGCATTGTGTCGAATTGTACTTCCGACGAGGTAGGCGAGCGTTTGTACGGCCACCTCCTTTGGAGGCAGATTCAGCGAATACGCGCACATTGATAGTGCCCATACTGTCTCAAAGTTGTCAGCGCTCAACGAGGTGGTCTCATGGGATTGTATATACCACTCGGCCAGAATACTACCATGGTTCCGGTAGGCCACATATGAAGCCTTGTCAGGTAGAGGTATCCCTTCCAAGCTGGAGGACGGGGGGACATGGCCGAGCTAGCGGAAGTGGACATGCGGGAAGGTGAATCTGAGGGGTGTGAGCAACTTGCATAGAGCATACGACGCACAGAAGCTTTATACACCGCCAAAATGGATACGTTAGCGTCAATTTATCCTGCCTTGCAGACTAGCGGTCACAAAGCGGCCAGGAATTGCCAACCGCGAATCGGATGTCCATCACGTTTGTCAAAACTGAACGCGATTTGATGTGCCTTCATCTGGATAAATGTCATCCAAGTCTCTTGGTAGTACTTGGAGATCTAGTATGCATCGCTCGCGCAAGTGTGGATTACTAGATGCTGTAGGCACTTATGTAGGTACTTATGTTTCTTGATTTGGAGCGTTCAGTAGCACTGTTAATGGCATATAAACAAAACTCAACGAAGAGCGTTTTGTCGAGTGGCTTCATCGACCTTGTTACTATGTCGGACGAGTTGATAGTGGCGTGATGGGGCACAGATTGCCCACTGTTCCGCAGCTTTAACATCACAGAAGCTGCGACATTATTAACTATTAAATTTCTTCCAGAGCCTGAGTTTCTACACGCACCTATGAGAACTATTCTAGTGGCCAGATGCCAGATGCGAGACCCGTCATATTACTTGTTCGCGGAAGTGTTCAGTCACAACACTTTCGGAAACAACCGAAACGACAAGTACTCGAGTTATTGACACAAGTAATCGCGGACAAAAGAGCAAGTTAGCTTAGCAGCTGCCCCAATCAGATGATGCCACGGGTAGAAGTTATATACCGACATCAGTGCCGAGTTTTGATCCACATGTTTCTGAGGACTGGATTTCGGTTGCGGCCAAGCAGCACCAGAGCGCTGTCAAAACAGAAGCGTGTCGGGGAGCCACTCACCTACTTGGGGAGCATATCCGAAAACACGAGCTAGATAGACGTCAATTTCCCGCACCTTCATTACCAATAGGACATGGAATACAGGATCGGACAAAGCTCTACTCTTTCCTGTGTTCGAGTGACAACACGTAAGGCCATGGGCCAGAGTATGGTCATGTAGTGCTGGGCGGTACGTCTTACGCCACCGTTACTGAACCTAGACATATTGGAGTGCCAGAGGAGATCAGTTGAGGCGACATTAGCTCTGCACGTCAAGCATTATACGGGTAGGCTGAGACACTGCGTTGACTCACGACCCGACAGTTCGGCCTAGCGTCGTCCAGGTTGATCTCCGTCTTCCCTCTCGGACATAAACGAAAGCGAGCCTGATGTTTGAACACGACTTCACATAGCCACCTGTCGCGCTCTCACATGGGTTCCTAGCTATAGTAAGGGCGAATCTACCGCGTTCTCAAGGATAACAACGACACTCAAACCTACAACAACTTGTTCGCACCAGTCCCTTGAGAGGCAGGCCATGAATGCCAGCACATACCTCTCTCTGATCGAGTCTGAACAAGTATTTCCCCAAGCTATGACTCCCCGTGCATTTTGCCCATGGCGTATTCAATGTCAGTGGGGGAAAACCGATCACAAACTGGGTGAGTATAGTTATCGTTGCACGTCCATTCCGAGGTCAAGCGGAGATCCAATCACGGTGCAAGCTCAGGCGCCGGAAGCGTGTCAAACTTTAGCTGTCTCTTTGCCTTGGGCACAGATGATCTCGGCAATATCCTGGCTCGTTCTAGTTGTATACAACTGTAGGCCTCTTACTAGTCCTTCAATTGGTCCTTCAATTGGCCCTAGGTTCGCACCAGTACTGAGCCTGCTGCTCCTGAAGTCCAATTGGATAAAACTATACAACATAGCATGAGATTGGTTCACATGAGTGTAACAGCTATTCTGGCCATTTAGGATCTATAGAGGAGGGGAGTTCGATCGCAGCTGTTTCTCAAAAAGCCATTGATGCTCTGGCACAACCAAATGACGATGCGGAAAACATCCTGTATCATTATATCTACCGAGATATACCAGGTTCGTACCACGATGACTTCAGGCCATAAGCGTATAAGCGTAGTCGCAAAACATGCCTCCCCAGATGATAAATCCAAGTTTGTGGTTCGCCTGGTAGACGAGGAGACAACGTCTCATAAGAACACGGAGAGGTTCGACGAATAATGAGCGCATACCTTGAAGAGCTTCCAGCCTTGTTTCTCCAGA